GCCTTTGTTTGGGGTGGTACAGCCGAGAAGGAGAAAGTACATCTGGTCGCCTTGAAGGAAGTGTTCAAACCCAAAGATGAGGGTGGCCTAGGAATTAAGGACTTACGAAAAACGAATTATGCACTCTTGATGAAACTAGGGTGGAGCCTGCTAACAAGGAGTAACTCCTTATGGGTGCGTCTTATGGTAGCCAAGTATGGAATCACTTCTTCGACTTCACTGGACACTTCTCGATGCCACCAAGGGTCACCGTTCACGAAAGCCATATGAAAGATTTGGCCCGACATGGTGAAAGAAACTCGATGGAATGTCAGAAATGGGGAGACGGTGAGGTTCTGGCTAGACTCTTGGGTAGGTACCATCGGGCCATTAATCCAATATGTATCTCAAAGGTCGCCCGACGATCACCTTAACCTACTTGTAGCGGATTACGTGGACAAGAGAGGTAGTTGGAGATGGGAAGCTTTTCATGGAATACTCCCTTCAGCCATCATCATGCGAGTTGCGGGTATGGTTCCGCCGAGAGAAACAGCTGGGGCGGACCATCTTGTGTGGGCCGCATCCCATGATGGACAATTCTCTACGCGAACGGCATATACGGCTTTAGCTCAACCATTGAGAGACTCGGATAGACCGCTTTGGAAAGTGATCTGGCAAGCCCCTGTGCCGCAATGGGTCCTCACTTTCTTGTGTCTGACTGCTCGGGACCGTTTATTGACCAATAGCAAGCGGGCCCGGCGGCATCTCGTTGCCTCGTCGGATTGTGAGTTGTGTGGTGCAACCGAAACGGCTTTGCACGTCTTGCGGGATTGGATAATAACTGGAATAGTATTTTTGGAAGGATGCCGATGGGATTGGATAATAAATGGAATAGTATTTTTGCGTTTGGAGTTTGGAGTATTTGGCAGTGGAGGAATGAGCGCATTTTTAGCAGCCGGTCAATTGGCTGTGAGGCTCGGTTCTTGGATATAATCCGTAAATTGAAATCATATGTTCAGGCGGTTGCGACCTATGCGCGGGCGGGAGCAACTGTCTACTCTTTACGCATGATCCAATGGATTCCGCGGGAATCGGGATGGGTTAAAGTGAACACTGACGGAACTTTTAGCCGTACCTCGGGCATGTGCACTGCAGGAGGCTTAATTCGAAATGATCTCCGTAGATGGATCGAGGGTTTTTTCATGAATATTGGGATATGCACTATCACCGGAGCCGAACTATGAGACTTGTTTCAGGGACTACAGCTGGCCTGGGAGCTGGGTTATCGTAAGGTTGTAGCAGAAGTTGATTGTCAATGTGTGACGAGAATGATCCTTGAGCCGGAAAATAATTTTAGAACCAATGAGTCACTAGTTCGGGCCATTAGGAGTTTGGTGCAAAGATCTTGGAGTGTTCGAATTCAACATGTGCATAGGGAGGCCAACTTTGCAGCTGATCATATGGCGGCCTTAGCGGTTTCTTCCCCCTTAGGCCTGTAAAGGACTTCACTACCTCCTCCAGAGATGGAAGCATGGCTGGACCACGATATCCGTGGGGTGGCTTACCCGTGTCGTGTTTTAAGCTAGTAGTTTCGGGCCACTGGC